CGCCCTGAGTTGGGTAGTTTCGACAAAACCTAGAGGAGTATTCACAGACAATAGAACTCGAGAAATCAGAGCCATTATAGCACGTATAGAGAGTACTTATGCTTCCAAATGTAAACTATTTCACATCGCTACAGAGAAGAATACAGCAGATCTTGCGACGAGAGGAATCAACAAAAGCGAGTTTGACCAGAGCCTATGGCTCAATGGCCCAACATTTCTTAAGACACGCTCAAATAATGATCTAGAACAAGAGACTGGCGTACGAGAATTCAAAATTAAACACGATCAAGCCACAGTCAATAAAATTCAAGCTGAAAAGATTGTACCGTCCTCTATGTTTCCATGTCTTAATCGAAACTATAAAAAGACGATTAGAATAGCAGCGTATGTCAATCGATTTTACACAAACCTCAAAATGAAAGTGAGTCATGCAAACGTTACAACATCTCTAACAATACCGCCGCTATCGATTGAAGAACTGATCAATGCAGAGTTATCAGTTTGGAAAGACACACAAAAAGATATTTCTCTTGAAGACAAAAAGCTGAAACACTTACAGCTATACAAGGATCATAACCTTATTATAAGGGCAGGTGGTCGTCTGGAGAATTTGTTGGATCCTCAGGAGTCTAACCCCATTTTTCTCCCTGCATATCATCCAATTACGATTGCGATCATTCACCAATTACATGTCAAATCCAACCACACAGGTGCCAACTACGTTCGCAGCGAATTTCGAAGAAAGTTCTGGTCTCCCAGATTATCAAAACAAGTGTTATCTGTGATAAAATCTTGCATGACTTGTAAGAAATTAAACGCAAGACCTTATAAATATCCCAATCTAGCACCGTTACCAGCTGAAAGAATTCAAAAAAGTAAGCCTTTCACCCACGTCGGCATTGACTTGGCTGGACCTTTCAAAGTTACTCTTGATAACGACTCCCTTGAAAACAGATGGATAGCTTTGTTCACCTGTTTCACGACAAGAGCTGTACACCTTGAAATCGTTTCAAACATATCAGCAGAAGCTTTTGCTTTGTGTTTTCGCAGATATGTGAGTAGAAGAGGTCTCCCTGAGACGATCCTCTCTGATAACGGTACAAACTTCACTGCGACAAACAAAACCCTACAAGAAATAGCTCACTCAAACGCGATAAACCTACAAAACCTGAAAATAAAATGGAAATTTATCACACCACTGAGTCCGTGGAAAGGTGGTGTTTACGAAAGAATGGTTGGTATTGTGAAAAGATGTCTTAAAACGACCTTACAACTACCATGTAGTGAATCATTGTTTAACACACTGACCGTAGAAGCGGAAGCCATAGTAAACAACCGCCCTTTAACGTACACATCCGACACTCTCGAAGAAATCTGTCCCGTGCGACCGATCGATTTACTTGGCTACGAGATGCATGTTTTTCCCACAACATACGATCCTGCTAACGATATGTTCTCGGCCTCAGAAAGTCATGAAAGTATTATTCGTAGTTACCGCGATTTACAAACAAAAATGAACAAATTCTGGCATAGATGGTACACTGAATACGTATTGGGACTGAGAGAAAAACAACAACTGGGATTAAACCAGAAGAGATATGTAAAAACCAAACCTCGCATTGGTGAACTAGTATTAATAACAGATGACAAGGTTCCTAGAAACTGTTGGCGTCTAGCAACCATTCTTGAACTATCTCCTCTAGATGATCCACGCATGGCAAAGGTCAAAGTAGTACAACGTAACACGTCATCAGATAGATCTGTATCGAAGATATTGGAAAGATCGATAAACCACTTAGTGCCATTAGAAATAGCGCAAGATGAAGAGTCACCAGTGAGTCCACAAAACAACCAAGCAGTTAGTCCCACAGCATCTCAATTTGAGGAACAAGAATGGCAGCGAAGTATATTGCCCCAACTACTTCGACCACATATAGAGACACCAGAAATCGACCCATTTACACTTGTCCCAGTTGAGGCTAATAATAACAGCAATGACGAATACTTACAACATGTAACTGACTTGACAACCCCCTCTCCAGCAGAGCTAATCTGCATTGACGATGACGATGATTCAGACGATATAATTTTCGAAGGTTTCCATAAACGTCAGTTCCGTCACCCTCGAAAAGCTCATAAAAACGTATCCTTTGCCAGTCTTTTACAAACGTTCATAAGTTTGTCAATGATCACCTCGATAACAGCCACAACAATAGCATCAGTTCAATGTAGCAAAGGTGGCTTAACCATTACACCCGGTTTGAATGACTCTCATATAACTGTATGCTCGGGATCTGACTTCTGCATAACTCACACTGGTAATGAAACCTTTCTGGCTAACATACCCCCACTTTTGACTCTCAATCCGTACGAACTTCTAATTCGCATTGCTTCTAATCAGTCAAACACTAAAGTCTTCACTACAAAATGCCCTGCGGCCCCCTTTTGCGAAACTATTAACTGTATTTTTTGTGCAGCACTGATGAGTAATCCAACATGTTGGCCACGTATGGCATTCACAACAACAGCACTGTACATTTGGCTCACTCTCTTTCTTACAACAGCCGTTGGCATTCTAGCTCTACGCATTTGGTCTAAAATCAAGAGTTTGCTTCTGTTCATACTAGTAACCCTGTGGTTAGTGATATCGCGATGCCTTCCATCTCGCACAATTAACAAACTAACCAAACGACCGGCCAAAATATCATTAAAAGGATGGAAGCCATCACGCACGGCTATCCGTTTAGCCACTATTCTTACTTTAGTCCACACCACTCTATCTTGTAACGCTATTACGCTGAGCAGTTCAGTTATTAATCATTGCACAGATAGCTCATGCCACGACACTCGAGAAGTTCAAATGAGTTTTGATCATCTCCATCTCGAAAGCTGTGTAGCAATCAATAACTCCAGCACTTACGACAAAATCGAGATCTTATCTGTTCGTCTAACGTGCGCTCGGAACACTTTGTTCTTCACCAAGCCTACATCCACTCATTTCCGTTCAAAGAAACGATGCCCTGCCATGGGTTCATGCGTAGGCGACTACTGTCAACAAGTGAAACATGAAGATGAAATACCCGAACTGCATTTAGTCAACCAATATCCCGGAAAAACGTATTGCTTGGATTCTTGTGGTTTTCTAAGCTGCGGTTGTGGTCTTCCTTCGGAAGGATGTTTATTCTACCGAATATATCAAAAACCCCAAAACAAACTCTATGAAGTATTTGAATGTACACAGTGGTTACCTACAGTAAAATTCCGCGTCTCTTCAACTCGAACTAACGACAGTGAAGTTGTAATAACTCAACCTCAAACCACGTTTCCTTTATCGCTGTTCAATATCACTATCACCCAGCTATCACATAACTCTGATATTCAACTCAATAAACGCTTCATAGCAGAGTTACAAGAACCTTACCGTGTAACATTTCTACCAGATGACACGAAGTTCACGTACACATGCTCCTCATTAACAAACTGTACCGTAAACGATCAATGTTCATGTCATACTTCCTCTGACCAAATAAACTGCGATTGCTTACAAAATAATGTTACATCTTTATTCACAGAACAATCGACTTTCCCGACTATTCGACCCAGTGGTTCATACCACACTCACCCCAAAAACCAAGACCCGTACTTCCTACCTTACACACATTCCGCACAAATACTTCTCACATTTAACATGTCCAATCTCCAAATACAAGATGATGACAACTTTTTCGCAGTTAGCATGAATGCAAGCCTTCTTTCAGGATGCTATCATTGCGCACATGGGGCTCAAGCAACTATAATCTGCACTTCAGAGACCAACCGGGCAGTACTTTTGACATGCCCCGATCAACAATTCATGATTCATTGCGATCCATTTAACCAC